GGCCCGGACGCTGCTCCTCACGCACAAGGCCGATACCATCGGTAACCGCGCCCTCCGGGGCCCGCGTCAGCCGCCTCCGCTGCGCTGTGGCCGCTCGGTCCCCAGCCCCGGCTGATGGTGGGGAGCCCGGGGAGCGCATTCCTGGCACTCGGTGCTGTGGGGCAGTCGGGCACGTCCGTTGCTAGCCCTCGGCCTGGTTTCCCTTTCACTGTAGCTCGACATTGCTGCATCGCTTGGGGGGAGGGGGCATGTGGCCGAGGGCAGTGGCTCCACGGTGGAGGGAAGAATTCCTTCATAAACTAGCTGCCACTCATTGGGAGCTGGAATTCATACATTGGAGAGAACTTTCCGTTGGTCTCCTTTATACTGCTGTCATGGCATAGCTACAGCGCAGTGGCACCCATAGTGTAGATGTGGCCATAATCACAAAAGGTAGATGTTTTTCATTGCTCTGATTTATGTCCTTACCTAGAACGCGAGTATGTCTACACTACCATGTTTTGTTGACAAAACTTACCTTGACTCCTGAAAGTCAACAAAACAAAAATTGCCGAAGGGTGTTCATGCTTGTTCACTTCGTCCACAGATCATGCCCACATTGGGGGCACCATCATCAACTATGTGGGTATGTATTCCACAGTGCAATGTTGTGGGAAGGCAGAACTTGTCCCTGCACATTTTGGGATTCCCTATGAATTCTCCCACAGCATCCTCAGCTGCTGGGAGCTGCATCGTGAGTAGCTCTGTGTGCTGAGGAACGTCAAAACAGCAGCCTGTCCCCTGCCTGCTTCAGCAGCAGTTATTCTGCCACAAAAAGCATTCCAATAAACCAGAGGAGAGGGGCACGTGCCCCCAGGACTGCAGAGAACAAAACACTGAGCAGAGCCATCAGGGTAGGCTTTGGCTTTGTGTACACTGGCATGTTTTGTCACCAAAAACTGCCTTTTGTTTACAAAATAATGAGAGCGTACACCAGGGTTGAGAGACCTAAATCCTGGTGGCTGGATGTGGCCCCCAGCTTGCCTGGATCCAGCTCCAAGACTTAGGGCCAACATTGGATAACCTGCACTGGACCTAGACTTCAGCCTTCCCTCTTCCCCTCTCCCCTGTCACCTCACCGCAGGGTTGGAGCACACACAATCTACTAGGCTGGGCTCCCCCTCTCCCCAGGCTCTGGTGTGCAAGGGGAATGTGTGAAGAGTATTCTTCTCAGACGGGGGCCATGTCAGTGAGAGCTTGTTTGTATTTGCTTCTCACTTGTGTGCAGCACTCCAACTGATTTTTCTTGAGGTCAACAGCCCCTGACCCAGAAAAGGCTCTCCACCTCTGCTGTACACACTATAATGCAACTTTAGTTGGGAAAAACACCCAGTCAGGGTGACAAAAAAATTCCACTTTTGCAAAAGACTTTTGCCTTTTCCCATTCGTTTCTTGTCTATAAAGAGCCAGTGTGGCCTCTTGTTGTTTGTTTTGTCAAGAGAACTGGCTTCTGCCAGTATCCCATAATGCTAGCCATGATGGCTCTGCTCAATGTTTTGTGATCTCTGCTGCCCTGCAGGCATGTGCCCCTTCCTTTTCAAAGCTGTCGGAAGTATCTGACAACTGAGTGAGCTGCTCTATTTGTGGAACAAAGAAAAAATTGTAGGAATGCTTCTGTTCTGTCCTGCACTAGAAACTCAATAGCAGGCAGACAGCTGCTGCAGGGGGTGGCTGGAGAGACTGTTGTGGTGCTTTGATATTCCTCATCAGAGAGCTCACAGAGCTAGGAAGGAATCCTCTCTGCCTTCCCACAACACTGCACTGTAGGATGCTTACCCACCTTGCTTTGCGCTTATCTATCGTCAAGGTGCTAGCAACGTGCCCAGGAAATATAGACAATGGGAGGCAGAAAAACTGGCTTTGACTGGTTTTCACTTTTGGCAACTTTTGCATGTTGACACCACTTTTGTCTCCACACCTTCCTAGTATAGACAGCCATTGTGGGATAGTGGTAGAAGCCAGTTCTGTCAGCAAAAGAAACAGCAGAGTTTACAGTGGATCTTTGTGGACAATAGAGGGAGAAAGAGTCTCTAGTAGACATGGAAGTTTTTTTTTTTGCAAAACTGGGGGTTTTTCTCAACAAAAATCGCATTACAGTGTGAATGCTCTAATTGTTTTGTTGCCAAAAGGCAGCTTTTGGCACTAAAACTTGGTAGTGTAGATATAACTTCCATTCCATCTTATGGGCAGGCAGGTATACTCTCAAAATACTGCATCAGTGCAGCTGCACTGTTGCTGCTGTGCCATTGTAGTGCTTATACGAAGACACTCATCCTGATGGAAGAGAGCTCTCCTGTGGGCATAGTTAATTTGACTCCCCAAAATACAGTAGCTATGTGAATGAGATAAGCTTTCCCGCTAACATAGTACTTCTGTGTACTTCATAGTACTGCATCAGGGGTGGGTAAGTTGGAATAACTACATCACACAGAGATGTGCATTTTTCACACTGCTGGGTAACAGTACCCATATAAATCTGTAGGGTAGACCAGACCTCAGGTTGAATGTCTAACTAGCTGTCACTGAAACACTGTCCTTAGCTAACAGGAGCTTGAGTGACTACATTGTCTTGGAAAGATAACTATAAGAAACAGCTAAGCTTCACCAGGATACTTGTGCACAGTCTGTTTCCCTTAGCAGCTCTGCACATGTGGCAGAACCCAGTGGATTCTGTAGCTATGCAAAAACAACTTTTAGTAGTTTCTGTGATGTATGTAGACTGAGTATGAGACTAGGAGCCAAGATAACTAATCTAATACTAGAACTGATATTGTGGCCTTGTGATGCCTTCTTGTTAAACAGTAATAATAAATGCTAGAGTTCAGAAAATGTAGGGCAGCCATTAGCTGACGTTAAAGGCTCTCTTGTGTTTTATCTAGGGCAAATGTCATGTAATCCCTCCTTTGGTGGCATTGGAAAGGGGCATCTCATGAGAGAAGTAGATGCCCTGGATGGGCTGTGTGCTCGGATCTGTGATCAGTCTGGAGTTCATTACAAGGTGCTCAACCGGCGTAAGGGGCTTGCTGTGTGGGGTCTCCGTGCACAGATTGATAGAAAACTCTATAAAGAAAACATGCAGGTGAGCATGACGTGGCAAGGAAGAAGAGAAATAATGTGGCAAAATGGGCTGGGGGAATTTTTTGACTTGTCAGAATAAATGGGAGAAAAGTAATACTTTGGTCTAATTATAACACTGCGGTTCTGGAGGCTGCATTTTTTAAAGGATGTTGAAAAATTGAGAGGGGAAAACAATTAATTTGAAGCTGGAAACAGCATCTTACAATATGAGACTGAAAGAGCTCAATTTGTTTATCTTATCAGACAAAATCTAGCGATGATGAAGTAACTTTGCGGGAAGAAAACATTGGCTACTAAAGGACTCTTTAAACTAGTGGAAAAAACATGACAAGAACCAATAACTGGAAACTGAACTAAACAAAGTGGAACAAGGGCACAGTTTTTTAACAGTGAACATGATTAACCACTATGGAATAGGAAATGGTACATTCTCCATCTCATAAGCCTTCAAGAGTGGAAGCCATTCTGCAAGATACTTTTGTCAAACACAGGCTATTTTATATTATTTACTCAATACAGGGTAACTAGCTAAACACCGTCCTTTGTTGTAGATCAAAGTAGATGATCTAATTGTTCCTTCTGCCCTTAAAATCTGCTAGGTTTTTTTTTTCATTTACATTTAATAAATCCCAAACAGTGCAGTGATTGGATCTCCTGGACAGAGAGTTTCACAAGTACTGTGAAATGGTTTGACGACAGTGGGAAATGAATGGGGCGAGGAAAGCTCAGGAGGGAAGCTGTTTCTGAATGTGTTTGGAAAGAGGTTCTAAGATATTATTTTGAAAGGACGGCTGGCCCATCTTAGTGATGTATGGATAGACATTCACTACTTCCTTTCTTTCATGGTAGAAAGAAATCCTTAACACTCCACTGCTGACTGTTCATGAAGCATCTGTAGAGGATCTTCTCCTATTGGAACCAGAGCCAGATCGTCCTGGGAAATGCCAAGTCAGTGGGGTCATTCTAGGTATGTTGTGGAAGCTCAAGGAGTTGCATTGGGTTGATTATGTCTTGGTTCTAAGTAAGACCATGAGTGTAAACATGTCTGATTCCTCAAACTGACTGACTGGGTATAAGGATAAGGAGTCTTTCTGGTTTAGGCTGATTACGGGCAAAACAATCTAGTTATCACAAAGAAAAATGTGAGAACTAAGTAGTTTGGAGAACAGATTTACAAACATTTTTATCTCTTGACTGGTCATTCAGAATATGTCCCAGGTTGTATGAGAAGATTTTGTTCAATTAATCAGGTGTGCCGAAGACAAACTCCTTTCCCTCTAACAAGTTTTTACAGTGTCTATTGAGTGTTATCCTAATTAGACCCATCACATGTAGCACCAACTGACTTCCTTTCTGACGGTCTCATGAAGCTGAAAGACTGCCTGGGACCGGCTTGTAGAAGTGATCTTTTCAGGGTAGTCATTAGTTATGGTGGGAAGGAGAGGGCAGAGTCATTGAAATTTGGGTCCCCAGTTTATTTGGCTTTCCTCTGGTCTCTGGCACTTGGTCTTGTCTTCTCAGGTATGGATGAGACAGAATACTGGGAAGGTTATAAACATAAGGCTCTGAAGAGAGATTAAACTGCACCTGGTTTTGGGTCTCCATTAGTTTTCTTTTTATTGACAAGAGGCACCGCAAATTCAGTGGAGAATGTGAGCTGGCACTAGCACTAGAAACAGGGAGGGCTTGTTATTATGAAATGTGCTTATTTCTATAAACCGATTGTGTTCCAGGGGATGGAAGCAGAGTCCATGCTACGAGTGTCATCCTGACTACGGGCACTTTCCTGAGGGGGATGGTCTTCATTGGATTAGAGATGCATCCTGCTGGACGATTAGGGGATCAGCCTTCCATTGGGCTGGCTCAGACCTTGGAGAAACTGGGATTTGCTGTGGGGCGGCTGAAAACTGGGACCCCACCTCGACTGGCCAAAGACTCTATTGACTTCAATGTGCTGGAGGAACACACGGCTGACAACGCTCCTGTGCCATTCAGCTTCCTCAGTGAGGCTGTATGGATCAAGGTGAGATGGAATGCTGATAATGCACATACAGTTGGGGTGAGCTGGGAGAGTGCTCTCGGAGTAATCATTGTATTGCTGTGATGTGCACTGTTAAGTCAGTGTGTGAGAGGGATCTGTTGGCTGAGGAAGTTGTCTTGTCAGTGTTGGACCCATGCAGTCAGGCTGTCCAATTACCTCACCTTGGTGACTTAGAAATTAGCTTCTCTGAGACATCAGCCCTTAGATGGGAAACTAAGGCCATCTGGAATGCCATGGAACTTCACCCCATTCCCATCACCTTCCTTGAGATGCTGTGATTTGGTAGGGCATGTGTTGATTAGAGCAAAGTACCTGGTTTCAAGGAATCCAAGGTTTTACTGCTCCCTGCTACTGACTTGCTCTTTGGCTTGTTGTTTAACATCACTGAACATCTGTGCAGAGGGTATGACAACACTGCCCCCTTTCTGTGCTGTTATGAATGTCAGGTAACATTTGTAGAGATTTTTGAGGTCTTTAGATGGAAAGTGCTAAATAAGAGCAAAGTATTATTATTGAGTTAAGCCCAAGTGATTCTTGACTTCTGTTAGCCAGAAGATCAGCTCTCATGCTACCGGACTCTCACCAATGCCAAAGTGGATCGAATCATCCATGATAACCTGCACCTGAACAACCATGTACAGGAGACGACAAGAGGGCCCCGGTGAGTATAGGGCATCCTGGAGAGATCTTTGTGTAGTGATCTGACATCGTATCTGAAGCTCTGTGGGTCTTCCTTGTGTGGTTTCAGGGAGGCTTGTCACAGATTGCTTTTTTCCTACACCAACATCCCTGTACTGATGGCTATTCCCTCTTGCAGATACTGTCCCTCTCTTGAATCAAAAGTTCTGCGCTTCCCAAATCGCATTCATCAGCTATGGCTGGAACCTGAAGGTCTGGATTCCAATGTCATCTACCCCCAAGGGATGTCAATGACTCTACCACAGGAGCTACAGGAGCAGGTGATTGCCTGCATCCGTGGCTTGGAGAAAGCCAAGATGGTGCAGCCAGGTGAGTTGAGGGTCAGATCACTCCAACCAGTGTAAGCTGTCCCTTTCTCAGCTTTCCTCTGTAGGGGTTGCCAAGGAGTCTACGTTGCATCTACATTGCAAAGGTATCTAGAAACATTTCTCCTATTCTATCCAGAGGGAATGTGATAAAGCATACAAGCTGCTGCATTTGCTGTGGGGGGTTGCGGATTATATCCTGCTGGGCTTTCAGTGGGAACTCTTATAACTTTACAGTGTGGAATGGGGTAAGGGTATTTGAATTTCTTCTTCTGGTGACTGACTGGTTTTGTGTTTCTGATTTGCTTATAATAGGCTATGGGGTTCAGTATGACTTTCTGGACCCCCGTCAGCTCAGTGCTTCCCTTGAATCCCGTCTTGTTCAGCGGCTCTTCTTTGCTGGGCAGATAAATGGCACCACAGGCTATGAAGAAGCTGCAGCTCAGGTGAGCAGATCTGGGAGGGTATGCTTCATACTCAGAAGGGAAATGGATATTCCCTGAAAGGCCTCTGAATTTGCAAACGTAGGAGCTGTAATACATCTCCAGTGAAGTCCTCACTGGAGAGCACCCAGGGAACAACTTTGCCACCTGTTTATACTGGCATGTTTTGTCACCAAAACCTGCCTTTTGGTGACAAAACAGCGAGAGTGTTTATACTACAATGCAACTTTTGTCAGAAAAACACTCAGTTTTGGCAACAAAAAACTTCCACCCCTGCAAAAGACTTTTATCTTTTCCCCTCCCTTTATTGTCAACAAAGATCCAAAATAAACTCTGCTGTTTATTTTGTTGAAAGAAACTGGATTCCTACAGTATCCTACAGTGCCTGCCTTGATGGCTCTTCTCAGTGTTTTGATCTCTGCTGCCCTGCAGGCATGTGCCCCTCCCATTTCAAAGCTCCAGGAAGTATCTGACAGCTGAGTGAGCTGCTCCCTTTAGAGAACAAATGTAAAACAGATAATTGGAATGCTGCTTTTCTGCTGTAGTGGGAGGGCTAGAGAGACTGCTGTGCTACTTTGACATTCCTTAGGACAGAGAGCTCACAGAGCTACAAGGGAATCTCAACAAACACAAGGATCAGTTCTCCCTTCCCACAACACTATATTGTGGGATGCTTACCCACATAGCTTTGCTCTGTCTGTCATCAGGGTGGTAGCAGTATGGCCAATGAATGTCGACAGTGGGAGACAGAAATCTGGTCTGACCTTTTCACTTTCGGTGACTTTTGCATATCGAGAGCACTTTTGTCACCTTCCCAGTATAGACATAGCCCGTGTCCATCCAACTCTCCTCACAGCCTGCCTGCATCCTGCCTGCACTTGGCTTCCATGACAGTTACCACTGATGAATTCATACCAGTGATGAATTAGATCTATGAAGTTTGTTAGTGTAGACACAGCAAAATGGGTAGTGTGTAGGCTGTAATCCTGATGAGCATGACTGGGAGCACATGTGAACAATCTCCAGTGGCTGCACCGATTGACAGTGTCTTAGAACTCTAACCCCAATCAGCAGTAGACTGTGAGGGGAAAAACATTAGCAGTAAAAAACCCACTATCTAGTGTTACTGAACAGCATTGCAAACCATATACTGCATCGGACAGTGGCTGCCTTGTTGCTCTCCTCCTATGAGCGATACCAGTGCTGTTCCCAGCTAGGCACTGCCTGCATTTTGGATATATTCTGGGACTGTGCACATATGAATGTCAGAGCATTCAGGAGCAAAGGACAGCTTTTCTACAAACTTTGTTTCTAAAAATACCAATGAATCTTAATATCCACCCGAGAGGCTATTGCCCTAGTGCTTAGGTGTGATCATTGGTAGCATGAACTAATGCAGCTGGAAGAGCTGCAGAAGAAGAGTGGGGGACATGTGCTCACCATTGAGCCCCTCTGGATTGATTAAATATCAAGATGATAACTGTAAGCAGTCTGGCCTAGCATTGAGGCTGAAAGATAGTCACCTGACACCCTGCTTTTAGGTAGGGGAGAATGAGGAAGGGATCCTCAGAGCTCTGGAAGGGCTGTGAAGAATCTTTTCTTTTCTAAAAGACCACTAGGTTTGTTAAAGCATCACAGACCATCACACACTTCCTGTGATATGGAGTGTGCTATACAGACCTAGTGGCTTATATTTGGTAGCAGGTGTGGATCAGGGATTGCCATTGTGCTGGCTTTGCAGCAATTTGTGATCATTTTACTCTCTGGCAGGGAGTAATTGCTGGGATCAATGCTGGCCTGCGGGTCAGAGGCAAGCCCCCTTTTATCATTAGCCGCACAGAGGGTTACATTGGAGTCTTGATTGATGACCTCACCACCCTGGGTACCAAAGAACCGTACCGCATGTTCACCAGCCGAGCGGAATTCCGTATGTCTCTGCGGCCTGATAACGCGGACAGAAGGCTCACCCTCCGAGGTAGGCAATCTCTTCTGGTGATGTCCACTGCCCTGACTGTGCACCTTCTCTCGCTCATGTCCACTCTTTCTGTAAAGGGTTTGAGGAAGCTGGCTGTGTGTCCCAACAACGACATGCACAAGCATCTCGGATGGAGGCTGCTTTAGAGGAGGCAATTGCAGTGCTAAAATCTCTTCAGTTCAGTGCCACCAAATGGGCCAAGCTGGTTCCAGAGGCTTCCATAAGCTCTGGTCGAACGTCACTCGCCAGGTAAAGGCAACAGCTGATCCTTTCTTGTCTGTCTAGAGTGTGCTTCTGGAGAAGACCCCTTTTCTCTCCTCTACTTTTTAAAACTCGGTAAATCTAATTTTGTGGAGGTGGTGTGGTGGCAGGCAGGCAACAACCGAAGAGGCTGTGGCAAAGTAGCACTTTCTCTGCAGTGAACCTTAACCCTGCTCTGGAGTAACTATCTCCCTGGTTGTGTGAAGGTTCTTCCCTCTTTAATGCAGGTCAGCCCTTCCCACCTCTGCTGAGACTGCTGGCAAAGGAGTTTATGATTTGATGATGTGGGCACTATGAGCTAGACCGGGGTGGGCAATAGGACCTCTGCGGGCCAATTAGGGCCTGAGGGCGAGGCAGCTGTGTGAAAGTGCCACGTGCTCCTCGCAGGGTGGGAGGAGGCTTCCCACACTCCCTTGTCCCAAGGCCTTGATTGGCCTGGGGGAGCATGCCAAGCCTCTTCCAGGGCATGGTGCCTAGTGGGAAGGGGGGCAAAGGGGCTCCCCCACCCCCAGATCAGTAATGGTCTGGAGGTGGGGGAGAAGCACCCCCCCTTCATGTTTAGGCCCTTCCCCTTCTGGGGTGGCCCGGGGCTACTTCAAAAAAAATTTAAAATGGTCCCTGGGCAAAAATTATTGCCCACCCCTGAGCTAAACAGAGATCACCAAATCATTTCATGAAGCCAGGTGGTAGCAGTTCTTGGACACTGTGGTCCTACTCCCTCATCTCCCCTCTCTTCATCTTTCCTTTTGTTGTTTTTCAGGTCAGTACCTGAAAACTCCCTCGGTAGGTACTTTCCAGTTCCAAGCTTCCTCAGATGCTTTTATCTAGTTACATCCTCTCTATTCACCTACCCCCATGTGCCATCTTCTCCACAGAAAGCTGCTTTCCCTTACTCATCTGGTGTGGTGCCAAAAGTGGACAGGTTCCGTTATCATTCATCTCTGAACTGACCTTACCAAAGCTATATTCAGGGGCTCTTGCTGTGAACAGCTGCTTACGTGTTCTAGGTAATTTGCTGGCCTTGATAACTGTGGAAATTTATTTTTGTTGTCACAGTGCCCTGGACATCCTTCAGTATCCAGAGGTCACCATGGAGCTTTTGGCACGAGTTGTTCCAGAGCCCCTGAAAAAGTTTGCTGAATGGCGAGAACTGGCAGAGAGGTTGAAAATAGAAGGTAGGAGGTCTGTGAGTCCTCCGTAACTAGAACTGTTCAACGGCTTTAGAGCTTGTTCAGTGGCAAATGAGTATAGAGCAGAAACCCCTGTCATCTCTGCATGGATTTCAGTGGAGGAAGAATTGTTACCACAGCGTGAGACCCATTCATCAACTCTCCTGGACAGGCCCTTATTCGTCTCCTCTTGGGGTGTTAGAGGAATTGTCTCCATGTTCATTCTGTCCTGTGTTTTCCTACCATGCCACTCCAACAATGGCTTGCAAGTTGCCCCAAAGGACCAGCCTCTCCTGGGGTGAGACGAACATAGTTTATTTATTCCCATTACAAGCTGAGTTGGTAAAACTTTCCAAAGCACATACAGGAGTTAAGCTCTCTAGTCCCTAACAGTTAGAGGCCTAATTTTCTTAGGTACTTTTGTAAATACTACTCAGAATTCCAGTTCTGGGAGCAAGAGCTCCTATGCTGTAAATACATTGTATTTTTATAATTTTTTTCCTCTCTGCCCACCCCAACTCCCACTGCAGCTATTTATGAGTGCCATGTAGCCAGCCAGCAACAGGAAATAGAGGAGGTACGTCGAGATGAAGCTCTCCAGCTGCCTGAGGATTTAGATTACTTTGCCATTGATGCATCATTGTCACAGGAAGTGCGAGAAAAACTAGACTCCAACCGCCCCCAGACGGTGAGGCATTGGGTCAGGGGCTGGGGTGGAACAGTTATGGAATCTGATCTAAGCACTATATGCGTCCATGTCTACACAAGGGACTCTTTGTACAGGTGTCTAATGTTTACCTTCTCGGGGAGCTGGGATAGAATTACACACTGGGTGTGTCTATTTTGGAGTTAGAATTCACTGGCTAGAATAAGGGTCACTGGAAAGCTTTAGAGAATGGGTGTTCACCACTTGATTCATTACTATTTGTGTCTACAGATTGGAGCAGTCAGCCGTATTCCTGGAATTACACCAGCCGCCATCCTTAACCTGCTGAGATTTGTGAAGACCAATAAGCAAAACACAGAGCACAGAAGGATTGGCAAGTCCTTACCAGAGGGAAATGCTTTTGGGAAGAGTAAATTTCAGAACTCAAGCTTGAGCTGTGCTTCATGAGGAGGAACCAGAGAATGGCTGTGTCAAAATGCCTTCTATAGACAGTATGCAGATGGATATGGCACACCTAGAGCCAAAAACCATTGTAGCTGTCTCCTATATCTGTCATCAGGTTAAGCTGAAGTCAGTAGCCCCATGAACTCCTAGAGTGACCAGCAATCTAAGTAGCTCATCAGTATGCCATGCATCTCATGAGTTAAAATAAAGTGGTGGTGGGGATATCAGGCAAGAAGTGATTTTTTTCAGCAATTTTTTCAGAGGTGTTGACCGAGGAGGAATCATAGAATAGAATCATAGAATACTAGGACTGAAAGGGACCTCGAGAGTCATCAAGTCCAGTCCCCTGCCCTCATGGCATAAGTTTCACTTACACAGCCAACAGCCTAGGGGGCCCAAGTGAAATCACTCAATGGTCCTTGACACGCCCTGTCTCCCTCGCCCAGTGTTGAGCAGCAAGCAGCGTGAGAGGCTAGTGAGAATTAGAAAGCCAAGAGCCCAGTAACTCTCGGCTTATTGTCTTCAGTATGCTTGCTATTTTATATTTGTCGCCAGTTCTGAAGTGGGCTGATGATAATGTTCAAATACAACCCCCTGGGCCTCAAATTTTAAAATTAACTTTGGAAGGTAACTCATCTGAGGGCTGGTTTCTAATATGATCATGAAGAAAAGTTGGCTTTCAAATTGAGATGAAGCTTAGGAACACTTTTTATTAAGTTTGTTTATTTATTTTCCAGAAGCTATTCACTCATGCCATGCATATAAAGTGAGAAATGGTTACCCCAGAGCATGGTAGGATGGGAAGACTTAGGCTGTGTCTACACTGGGCCACTTATTCCGGAAAAGCAATAAGCTGCGAGCTGTCTACACTGGCTCCTTGAATTTCCGGAAAAGTACTGATGATCTACTGTAAAATTGTCAGTGTTTTTCCGGAAAAACTATGCTGCTCCCACTCAGGCAAAAGTCCTTTTTCCAGAAAACTGTTCCGGAAAAGGGCCAGTGTAGACAGCCCAGTAGTCTTTTCCGCAAAAAAGCCCCGATCGCGAAAATGACGATCAGGGCTTTTTTCCGGAAAAAGCGCGTCTACATTGGCAGGATGCTTTTCTGGAAAAGCCCTTTTTCCGGAAATACTTATAATGGGAAAACTGTTCTGTTTTAAGCATTTCCGGAAAAGGGTGCCAGTGTAGACGTAGCCTTAATGTTTGGTTGTACTCCATTATTTGTTTTTCCTCAGAAAAGTGATATTGCAGAATGTCATCTTCATTCAACAAACTTGCTCACTTCAGTGACAAAACTAAACTCTGTTCTTGTTAGCCCTTCATAATCAACACTGGTAAGGCTTTGGAACCCAGAGTCTGTCTGTTCTTTCACACCACCAATGGAGTTGTGTGTTAACTTTCTATTGGTTACACCTGTATAACCCAGCAAAGACAACGCGTTTGCATGGGCTTCACTGAAGGACTGATTTGACTTTTAATACTGGCTGATAGGTGTGAGAGAGAAAGACCCCAGCTTTACTCTAGGTTGAGTTTGCAGGGCTGGCATTTAAGAGACAAAACATCTTTTTATTTAGTGAATATGAGACAAATGCACAGTCCTCTCTCCCCATGCCATTTCTGCAGGCATCTTTCAGAGCAGCACTACATTTTTTTAGGTCAGATATGGAATAGCTTTCAAGTGACTGCTTTTTCATCTGCGTGGCTTCTTGGGAAACTGAATGGAGTTTGTCATAAGCCTGAATTCACCAATGTCAAAACAATAGCACAAGTGTGTCTTGTCTGTTTGAAAACATAGGGGTAAATCACTTATTGCAAAAACAGCAATGGGAATGGAGAATATATTTATAATGCTGTTTTTGGAGATTGCAGTTAGTTTTATAATGCTGCAACACACACTTCTGAGGATGAACAGAGCTTAAAATACCTATTGTCCATGGAACATAATATAGACTTAATAGTGCTGCAGAGAAGCATGTTAGGACTAGTACACAGGAAATCATTGTTTACATTGTTACTCTCTTAGTTGTTTTTCCCTATAAATCTTTGAAGGACATAAATATTGTCTTTTAACAGAAAACAGCGCTGCTATAAATTCCATGTTGGAACTGGCTTTGCAGAACATGTCTAGCTATAGGCCTTTTTCCCATCTCCTTCCATGTTAAAAAGATAGTGCCTTTTCCAAAAAAGAATTGCTTAACATTCAGCAAGTGTCTTAGGAATTGATTACCAGCCCTTGGAAGTAACCAGGATATCTGTTTCTTGGGATAAGGAGGAGTCTTAAAGGGTATTTCCTTTCAAGTATGAAAGCTGCAAATGAGCAGGCTTATTCACTATCCCCTAGATCCAATGCTCTGTCAGCTCAGGGAAGGAGGCTCGCCACTCTCCGCTGCTATAAAAGAGGAAAAGGTATCTTGTTACCTAGGCGCAATTTTAAGCAATATGAAGAAATCCTAGATCTCTAAACTCCAGCCATCCAGCAGTGTGATAGTAACATATTTGTGCTGAAGACTGTGATATTAACAACTCAAAATAATAGCATGTAATGAAGTACATTGTGGCTGTACCTCACTTAAAGGCCGAGATTGACATTTCCTGCAAACTGACTGTTACTTTTAAAAAGATTAAATGTGAGCAAATGCAAACAAAATATGAAAAAACAAATATTGCTGCTTTGTCTGGCCCAGAGGCTTGAATGAAATTTATAAGGGTTCAGAACCCAATACAGATTGATATTATGTGCATCACTTAACCTGGAAGCTGTTCAAGGTAGAGATTTTCTCTTATTATCTGTGTGTACAATGCATGGCACAAGGAGGGAGGGGGGGAAGAGTGTCACCACCTCTGTTGGCATATCTAGGGGCTGCTGTAATGCAAAGTATTAATGTGTAATTTATTATCACAGTCTCAATTGGTGAGATTGGCACTTGGTTGCAAGTGGATTTGGAAGGCTCAGGAGTTTCTGCCCCTCTGCTTGTGAACTGTTCAGTGCCTAGCATCAACAAATCTTGTGGAACTTCATTTGTTATAATACCAATTTCAATCTACCTGAGAGTCTTGAATTTTAACTTTTTGTGGTGGAAGTTGCATACTATACTCAGCACTTAAAGAAATTGACCAGAAACTAGACTGGCACGAAACCACAGGGCTTTGTTGTTGGCTTCATTGGCATTATACCAGTTACACCAGCTGAGTTTTGCTGATCTGTGATTCACTGGAAAAGGAACATGTCATTTCCCTGCTATTGCTCTGTTTTTAAGCAACAATTTTATGTAGAAAAGTTAGACCTATTTTGAAAGTTCAAAGGAACTTTTGTTGCTATCTTCACCCATTCTCGCATTTGTGTTCCTGACAAACAACTCATGCTTAGAGATGTTAAATTTAGTTTAATCAGCTAATTTACTAGTTGATGGATTTTCCATTGACTGGTCGATTAGTCAATAAGCAGCGAGCTGCAGCAGGGTTAGCTCCCGGCTCGCAAGCAAATCCCGCTGCAACTCTGCCTTTTAGATGTATTAAGAGTCTTGGCTTCTGAGCCAAGAAACCCGCCCAAGGTGCCTGTGCTCTAGTGGAATGAGCTGTTGCAGTTGCTGGCAGGAGCACTCTTAACAGCTCTTAGCAAGGACGAAATTACATGGGATTACACTGGACAGCTCTTCTTTCTGCAACAGCAACAAATAGCTTACAGAATGGTCGCATTGTATCAATTTAGGAGTCCATGGCCTGTCTGACATTGAGAGTATACAACCAGTGCTCTTTATCTAATGCATGGGCTTCAGAAAGAGGTCTGGTGAGTAGATATCCTGGTCCTTGTGGATATGAAAAACAACCTTGGTCAAAAAAGCTGGATGTGGGTACAGTTGGACCATGTCCCTGTGGAAGACTGTAGAGGAGATTCCATCATGAGGGCCCTGATCTTGGACACCCACTGCACCAACATTCTGGTGACCAAAAAGGGATGCCTTCCAGGAAAAGAGCAGGAGGGGAGCAGGAAGCTAACGGTTTAAGGGGAAATGGGTCTCAGATGTATGGGTACAGGCACTCCACACCTTTCAAGAATTGAGCCATCATGCGGTGGCAAAAACCAACCTGCCTGAAGCAGAGGATGACCTGCAGCAAGGCCGCCTCAGGGCAAACTTGCTTGTTTGAGATCCAACATGCAAAGCACTTCCACTTGGACATATAAGTAGCCTGGGTGTATGGCTTCTTGTTGCCCAGAAGGATCTGTTGGACTGACACAGCACTTTCGCTGGTCCATACTCAGCCACACTGTCAGGTGCAGCAATGCTAGGTTCAGATGCAGTAGAGTCCAGTGATCCTTGGACAGCAAATCTGAATGGAGAGGTAACTGCCGCTGGCCAACCACAGAAAGACGCCAAACGAGTGCTGGTGAGGCCATACCAGGGCTATGAGATTGACCTGCACTTTGTCCTGCTTCAGCTTTAACAGAACTAAGTGCCACTGGTGGAAAGGCAATACACGAGCACTCCCAACTATGTAATCCAGAAGGCATCTGACAGGGAACCCTTGCACTTCCAGCTCCAAGTTCTCGACCACCTGCCTGGGGAAGGGCCTGGTGTTCTATAAATTCATGAAGAGAGCCATCCCGGGAAGGCCCTGCAACTGCCTCCATATGGGGACGTGAAGGAGGTTCTGACTGCCAGTGGAAGCACTGAGGGCTCAGCAGCCACTGGAAAGGGAGGTTTGGGGGTGGGCACTGGACCCTACACCCCAAACTTTGAGCAAGCTTCCAGCTCTGGGCATGGTGCCAGTTGGCCAATTGATCTTTGCTCCAATGTAGCTATTGGTGTGTGCTGCAAAGGGGGTATTGTCATCACCGGCATGTCTCATGCTCTCCATTATGGCCACTGTGTTGGCCACTGGCCTTGCTGCCACTGCACAGCTGTGAAAGCTAGAGTAGTTACTGGTGCTCAATCCTGCCTCCGAGACCAGGGTGATAGGTTGAACTGGACCTTTGCATCACAGCAGCTACCTTCTGTCGACTGGGGTGATGGTGTTGCTGTTGATACAGGAGGGGGCTTCGCAATTGATGCCTAGGTCTGTTGCTGGTTGTGGCTACCAGAAAGCACTGATCTGGCATGAGCTGATCTGGCATGTACGTAGCTGGCACTGATCTGGCATGAACAGTCCCAGTGCCATCAGTGCCAGTGCCATCAGTGTCAGGGGAATAGTGCTGAAGAGACTAGTAATACAAGGCGAGTGGTCCCACGCTGCC